AGCATGAAAGGAGTACAATCCATAACCTCTTTTGTACACTGTTCAATCCTTATTTACATAAGAAAGTAGCTCAAGCGGAGTAGACACACTTGCCCCTTAGAATCACATCCCAAAATTTCAGCTTCCCCTGCAATTTTTTACGGAGGCAGCAGCTCAGTTTCTACACAGCATGACAGACCGGCCGAGGGTCTCCGTGCGCTCATGTCGGGTGGGACAGGACCTTCGGCTCTTGTGAAGCTGTTCACCCACGCGTCCATTCAGCGGGCCGTGGGGGAGGAAGGGGGCAAAGCCGGCAAAGGGGGAAGACAACTCCATCGCTACGTTTAGGGGTTGACGGCCGCTTCCACTCGCACTCCCGTGCAGCTGGAGGAGCAGTTTTAACCGCCAATCTCGCGCGACGAAGAACCCAGCCCTTCCACCCGTTGAAGGCGCGCGCGAGAGCCGAGCCTTCCCAAAGGCGCGGCGTCGCCGGTTCCGTGTGAGGCGAGACTGAGACGCCACCTCCACACTAGCCGGGCGGGGAAGGACTCTCGCTTTCGGTCCCATCGCATTCCCTTCTGCGCCTGCGCGCTAAGCTAGGCGAGTCGGGAGTACACTACAGCAGAACACGCCGAGCCGAGGCCCGGGGCGCCACCCTGTTTGGAGGAGAGAGAGTGGACTGACCGGCGGGAGCGGGGAACTTCCCGGGGTTTGGGGGTATTTTCCCCCCCGTCAGGCGGCATTAAGAACTGGCCGAAAGGGGGGCGAGCGAGTCCTCCCGCTTTCGAGGATGGTCTTCGAATCGGTGGTGGTGGACGTTCTGAATCGGTTCCTGGGCGATTATGTGGTGAACCTGGATAGTTCCCAGCTTCAGCTGGGCATTTGGGGAGGTAAGCCAGAGGCCACGGCCGGGTTGGAGCCCAGCCCGGCCTCGCCCAGACCCCCTTAATCTCGGAAAGCACCTTACTCTTCAGGAGGCGGTGGCCGGGCTTCTCCTCTTCGCAGGGCACGCGCGGCTAGCCTCCTGGCGCGCCTGCTCGCCCGCGTGGTTTGTGTCGCTGAGGGAAGGCGAGCGCGGTTCTGCCCGAGAGACGAAGAACCGGGGCGGACTCTCGTTCTTCCTGGGCGAGCGAAGCCCTGCGAGCGGTCTCTAGCTGAATTGCTTAGAGTTGGTTTCCTTCCAGCACGGCCAGGCCTTCTTGTCACGTGTCATGCCTTGACTTCTTCCCTGTTTGCTCTTTTTTGGAAGTGATTCTCCTTTAAAGGGAGACCGTAGGAGAGAAGTTAAAGCCTCGTTCCAGTGTGGTCGAGAATAAAGAGGCAGTTGTATTAAACGAGGTGTAAAAATAGTGTTTCCTCCCGTGTACTGCGCTTCTCGTTCTGTTTGTGGCGATTTTGTTTGAGTGGGTGTGGGAACCTAAGTACTGCATTGGAACCTAATACTGTGGCCTTCGGCTAATACGCTGCTTTGCTTATATTCATTATTAGCAAGTTCATTTATTTCATAATTTTAGAAGGTGCCTGACTCCCGAATGAAACTTGTCACATAATTAAAGAAAACAAAAATATAACAATTACGTGCAACAGGAGTAAATACACATTCCCTTGCAGAAAGTCAGCAGATAATCAAACTCCAGTCCTGGGAGTGGACCATGTTTTCAAAGACTTGTAGTCTGAAAGGTGCTTTTGAAGAAGCTTCTTGAATGAGAAAGGGGAGGGGGGAGAAAAGACAACACCCCTCCCCCTCGGAAATCCAGTTGCTTCTTGAAAAAGCACCTTTGGCACAACTATCATCTGGATGATTGAGAATCTCCATAAGCAAAATCTGGTAGGTCCTTGTAGAATGAGAGCCTATGGATTGCTTTTTCAGAGAGTAGGCAATGGAACAAAATCTTGCAGTGACAATTTTATTTTATTGTCATTCAAGAATAATGATAAGAAACACTTATATGTGTGTTATACCTAATGCAGGTAGTTCTCAGTTTACAGCAGTTTTGTTGTGACTGTTCAAAGTCATTGAAAGAAGTGACATAATCGTTTTTCATAGTTACAACTTTTGTAGCAACCCCCCCCCCCCAATCATGTGATCAAAGTTCAGATGCTTGGCAATTGGTTCTATTTATTATCTTTGCTTCTCCCGGGGTCAGCACCTTTTGCAACCTGTCAAGCAAAGTCAATGAGGAAGCCAGATTCACTTAACAACCAGGTTACTAACTAACTTACCAACTGCAGTGCTTCACTGAACAACAGTGGCAAGAAAAATCGTAAAGTGGGGCAAAGCTGACTTAGCAAATGTCTCACTTAACGACAGATTTTGGGCTAAGCTGTGGTTGTAAGTTGAGGACTACCGGTATGTCTCTGCAATTTGACTTGTTTTCAATCACAATTCTTTCATTGAACTCCCAATTTATTACTGAGGTAGTAATTCAAGCTAGATGTAGTTTTGGCAATGTTTAAGAAATTGAATATGTACCACGTGGAATATATATTTGTAATTCTCTGAACATAGTAGTTACTCATTTTAGGATATGAATACCTTGGAGTTGCTGAATTGTTTGCTTTGTTCAATATATTTGGCCTTTGGTTGATAATCCATAGATGGGTGAAATATTTTCTGATGCTAGGCCGTTGATTTTATCAATTTTCTCTTTTTTTGGTCCAAAACAATTACAGAGGAAATAGGAAATACGAAACCAGAAGAGCAGCTGGCGATGGCACATATGCCCACAGAGAGGGCTCTGTGTGTCACTTCTGGCACGCATGCCATAGGTTTGCCTTCACAGATTTAAACAGTTCTCACATTCTCATATACGAATATTTCTTAAAGGATGTATGCTCTGGGTAGGTAGTTGAAGTAGAAGTATTCCAAGATGTCTACAATTTTTTAATATGTTAGGTTTATTTTCTTTCTTATGCTAAATAAATAATGTCAGTAAAATAAAGGTACTTTTTCAGAGCAATTTCTAATGTCTTCTTGAGTGGCTCATGTGAACCAAATTGAGGCCATTTGGGAGTTTCCTACTCTGAGAACCTATTCTGCCCTATATAAGTCCTTTTGGCAGCCTACTATTAAAGTACAAGTAGTCCTCAAATTACAACCACAATTGATCCCAATATTTCTGCTGCTAAGTGATACATTTGTTAAGTGAGTTTTGCCCCATTTTACGGCTTTTCTTGATACAGTTGTTAAGTGAATCACTACAGTTGTTAAGTTAGTAACAAGTTTGTTAAGTGAATCTGGCTTCCCCATTGAGTTTGCTTGTCAGAAGGTAACAAAAGGTGACCACATGACCTCAAGATACTGCAATCATAAATATTAGTCAGTTGCCAAGCGTCTGAATTTTGATCATATGACCATGGGAATGCTACAACAATTGTAAGTGTTCATAAATGATCATAAATCATTCTTTTCAATGCTCTTGTAACTTCAAATGGTCACTAAATGAACTGTTGTTAACTTGAGGACTACTTGTATTGGGGGAAAAATCAGGTTGCTTGAGAGGAAGAGGTGAATTTAAATTTGCTGCAGGGAAGAGAGTGAAATATTCTGTAGCTCTTAATATGCTGTGCATATTAAATTTTAAAAAACAACTTGGTTTCCCCCCCCCCCCCTTTTTGTATGTTATAGACAGCTCTTGATATTAATTAGTGATTTTGGAACATATGAAATGCATTTTCAATCTGTACTTAGATAGTATATATATTTTTTGCAAACTAATATGATCTTAATAAATATTTCAAAGAGCATCATAGTTAAACAGAGCGCAGGGAGCAAGCTACCATTTCTCTTATAAATAGTATTGGAAATAAGAGAATAGAAAAAAGAGAATACTAGAAAAGCATACCTAACACTGTTATTTGTGGTCAGGGATATATTGTACTATACTGGTGTTTAAATTTAGAGTGGTTGAAATACCAGTAAGAGAATCCATGCAACTATAAATACAACAGCATTACATATTAAATCATTGGTTAGGGAATTTGCTCAAATGATACAGCACTTATCTTCAAGTTTGAAAGGTAGTAGTAATTTTGTCCCTGTTTTCTAACATACTTTTTACTACTTTCTTCTGTGTATGTGTGGGGGAAATAGTGAAACTCAGTGATAGTACCTATACTTTTATTCATAAAGTCCTATATTCTAAACCTGACATTTTCAGGTAGATGCTTAGTTTAGTAAGTGCAACAATTGGTTCAAGTTCTAGCTCAGAAAATAAGAGTTGGCCCCATCCCACGTGACTGGTCACCGTACCCCTTCATTACAATAATTTTCATGCAATATGTGGCACCAGAACTGTCTCCTTTCTTTCCCTGAAGTTGTCTCTCCATAGAAGATACCCAAAATAAGAGATTTGTTCCACCATTATGTTTGGTTTTCATCTGTCAACATTGACTATTTACAGTATGGAAGAAGAAAATGCCCGATATAAGGAGGAAAAAGTCTGTTTAGTGGCTTGTCTTCTGGAGAGAAAGGAGAAAATCCCACCAGAAGTGGGATTGGGAGGGAAATATTGCCAATGGAACACACAGCTCCAGAGGAAGCATTATTACAGTATTTGCTCTGGATTTCCATTTGGTTAAAAAGAGAGCTTTGGTCTGTCACAGGAAGGACTAGGGTAAATTCTGGTTACATTTCAGTTAGATTACAGATTTTTTCTTCTACTGGGTTGCCTGAAAACGACATAGTTCATTGCTATACATTTCAACAATATAACTTGATTATGCAATAGAATTTTGCATCATGTTTTCATTATCTCTGTATTTTAATACTTGCTCACACTTACTCAAACTTTTCCATCACCTAATATTAGATGAGCTCATGTTTTCTGGATTAACATTGTAGTTGATAAGTATGGTTGATACAACTGAATGTTCTATTGATGTTTCATTGTTGGGAAATGCTTATTTTGCCCCAAGAATTTTATTTGGTCTTGTTCATGTAGCCTTTAAGAGGACCTTATAGCTTTTTCTGTGGATGTCTTTGTTGATTTTCTTACTGCACTCCTTAACTAATTATTCCATTGTTCATGTTTTCCATCATCTTTGTTGTAAGTGGTTTTCATGTGAAGGTAGCCAACAAAGCAGTTTCATATATTATGAAGATGCAATATAAATGACACATAATATTATATTAAGTGGATCAGAAAAAAATGTTAAACTTTAGTGAAAACTAAATTATGATCATTCAGTTAGTAAATGACAATAAAAAGCACACTAGTCTTTCTGGTATGTATCACTGCTCTTGCTATTACTTGCCAGATCACTAAGTGCCCTGTCTAAAATTATTCTCCAGGTTATTTTATGTGAAGATCAACACTTTGGATTAATTTTTCTTTCTTATATCCCCTTATCACTATATAGATAAGAACTATATAATTTCTACTTACTTGACTTATTACAAATGTGACATCAACCAAGGTGACTTTTCCTGGCATCTGAGTGCAACATGAAACCAGCTTAACAGCTAGCTGAAGCTAATTTAAGTCTGCACTTCATCTTAAAATTTACAAGTTACAGAAGTTTTGATTTTAATAATGTGCCAACTTCTGTGGCCCAGCAGATAAATAATTCATTCTCTGACTATTAGTTGACTTTATTAAAGGCATTGCTGTCTGCAGGCTTTGGATATTTTTTCAGTGGATTCAGGGAGTGGTTTTTATGTCTGCATGTGTGATTATCTAGAAATAGATACAGAATGAATTTACATGGGCAATTCTCTTTTCAAAGGTGCATTTCTATGCCTGAGAACTGCACCCGGCCTTTGGAAGGTACCAGTATAGTGTTCCATGCAACCTCCTCCACTCATCTGCCCATCAGTCACCTACTCAGAAAACCTGTATCAGATGACCTTTTATTAAAAGGGAAGCAAAATCCTTCACTGTTGTGGCTA